CTGGCTCCTGGGTTTGTAGGGACACTGTCTGCTCTGTGGTACAGAGTCCTGATCACTCCTGTGTTCCAGTGGGTTGTGGGAGTCAAAACGCAAATATTGGTCTGTGTGGGTGGGCTTACGATATACGCCAGTTTCCAACCGTCCTCCATCGGAAGCCGAGACATCTCAATCCAGGAACGCCTTTTTTTTTTTTTTTACAAATTTAAACCACAATTTTATACAAGCTACGTGATTAAGTCTTCACAAACAAGAGAAAATGCATCATCAAATCAATAAATTTAAGATGTTTTCATAATCTGTAAGTGTTTTTGTGATTTGTCTCTCCTTTGGATTATTAATTTGGGAATTGTTTACTGGTAAATTGAACATACATTATTAACATAATAAAATATTTTGTTCAGAAACATTAGGACAGTAAAAAAAACTTACTAATTAATTACTAAAGCATCGTTCCCTATTTTTCCCCAGTTTTGACTTCATTTTATTTACTTTTTCTTAAATTAAAAAAAATAGACACGATTGTGGAAAGATAAAAGTGCACAATATAGATAATTGAAAACAAACTTAAACAATTTATTTTTCTAAATGAAATATTCAGAAACTACAAAATTAAATACAAAAAGTATTTATTTTCTTTTAACAAGGGTGGGATTGAGACAATCGATATTTAGATCGATCCACCCACCTCATTATTCCTTATCTAGCTTAGAATTAGCATAGCTGCTACTCTGGCTCTTGCCATTGAACGTATCACTGTGGTCTGTAAATTGGGTTACTAAACCTCTCTTTCACGACTTTTATATAAGAATTACCCGTATAACTGCTTAAAACCTAAAGGTATGTTGTCTTACGAAGTATTTTGTGCATTAGGTTTTGATAACTTAGTAATTGTTAGCAGCTACTAGCAAGTGAGGCTAACAGGAAGTTAGCATATCGCTAACGTTAGCATAAGGTAGCTTAATACATTAAAGTTAAAGTTAAAAGCTAAAGTTATTAGGTTTCTTTCTTTCTTGGATTTTTTTCTTGATAGATCCAAACATATTTTGTTGCTTTACTGCTTTTATATTTGTTATTTTAATCCAAACCCATTAGAAGACTACTTTAGCAACTTAAGCTAGCTCATAGAGCTAATATGACCATGAACTGTAACTTATGTATTAGCTGTAGGCATTATCTCACATTTATTTATCCTTTTATATTTAATAATAGAATCTTCAAAATCAAAGTGCAAAAAAACAACATATTTTACTGTAAAAGATTGTAATATTCTCTCAGTGTGAAATATAATATTTATGTAAAAAAAAATAAAAATAATGCCAAGAAGCTATTGATTTTTGAAAGACATCAAAGAAGTGAGCCAAACAGGAGCTTTCTCTGTTGGACTGAATCTGATTACATTTACTCAGAGAGAAAAGTCAGACAAATGATGCAAGCAAAAGATGTGGAGGTGTAAGATATTTGGACTTGGAAAACTAAGTAGCAGACTGAAAGGGCAGCTTTTGGCATAAAACATGTTTTATCAATCACTGTTGTCCAAATATTTAGACCATATTTTGTTTCTAATAGCATGGTTGATTATCACAATCAAATTAAAACCATAAATAATATAAATATCTAAACAGTTTTTTAATCATATCTCATTTAAAATACTGTAATATTCTGTGTTTCTTGTTTTTAGATGTACACGGACAACAAAAAGAGGTCAACAGGTCCTTCCAGCTCTGGAAGTTTGGTTTATTGGGCCTCCTCATTCTCTCGTCAACCAGTCAGGGTCCTGATTGTGGAAACGTTGCCACCCTGGTGGACAGAGATTTGCACAGTAGTTTGCGATGCTCTGGATAACTTCCTGTCAGTGGCGTGTAGCCTGGACGGACCCTGTAGGATACCGCTCCTCAGCCTGTACGCCATCAGCAGACAACAGGAGTGTCTGCTGCCTTTTGTGGTGAGACAAGCAATGCGTTATTTTCAAAAACTATCCTTATTTTTGCTCCATGCCTGTATTCGATCTCCCATATTATCTGCCACTTTTGGCCTAACCCTTTGTATTATTTTCTGCTTATAGCAAGTTCGAGGTAATCTGGCCCGGCTGCATGCCTGCGTGGAGGAGCTGAGGTCTATTCCAGGTGATGGCTGCATCAGAGGAGCAGCCAGAGGAGGTGATCTGCTGCGACAGGCAGTGCTGGACAGTCTGCAGCAGTTTAAACAATACATGAGACACACGAGCCCTGGCAGCCAGGCCTGCAACAATGCATCTGTGGAGGTGAGTATTGAATAGACGGCAACTTTTTTCTCTGTGAAATCACACATTATGGAAAATACAGTTAGTAAGCTATCAGATTTCAGCAGAATAGTAAATAGTGTCTATAATCAAATTGGTGGTCTTGGAGTCAACACCTCTCAGGCTGCAGCTCTTGTTAGGTTATGCAGATTACGTTTTTATTTAAAGTCATGTTAAAGTGAGCTTTTTTTTATATGGAAGAGAACAACTCTTTGAAGGATGTCTAAAATTTGGAGTGTTTCTCTTGGTATAAGGGAAGGCACAGATGTTAGCAAGGACTTCTGGCTCTCAGTCTTTGTTCCTGTTCCATCCAAAGGAGCTTGAAGGGGCTGAGGTCAGAGCTCTGTAAAGGCCAGTCAAGTTTGCTATCAAACCTTGTCTCTATAGTCCATGCTTAGGCCTTTAGAAAATTGACTTTACTAGGGATGCACGACATATTGGTCATTTTTTAGAATCTCGTATTGGTCCAATATGTAAAACTGGGCCGATATTAAAGTCCAATATGGATTTATGTTTCTATTTTGGGAGGAGAGATGGTTGGTTGAGCAGCATCTGTTTGATCATGAAAGTGGTATTTACGCTGCATTGCCAGGAATAACTGAAGTAGAGTCACGTCAGAGGACTGGTCGTTTATTTATGATATTGAAAAAAGATCAGAGTGTGATTGTGCGTATATGTATAATATAATTTGTGTGTTTGTGTAATATCGGTAAATATCGGTTATCGGTCATCAGTGTTGTATAAAGTACCTCAAAGTGATACTTGAGTAAAAGTACAAGTATCTTATCATAAAAATACTTTGGTAAAAGTTAAAGTCTTCTCTAAAA